GTGTAAAAACAGGAATGGAACTAGAATAAATATACACAGACTGCTGATAAAATTAAAAAGTCAGGACAGGCATCAGCAGGTCTATATCAATCAGAGAATTAAACTTTCAACTGGTATATTAGATACTAAGGGTATAACTAGTTTTAAGGTTGTAATCAGGTTATGAAATAGATTGTATGACATGATTGCCTTCAGGAAGTGCTCTCCTGGACTATCAGAAACAAGGGTATGCTAATATGATGCCTCTATCCTAATGAGCACAAGATAACATTTTTAAAATTTACAAAAGGACCTGCAGATCAGTTTAAGAGTAATTTCCAGAAAACACATTTATTCCGTAGTATATCATACTTGTTGATCCTTGTCACTGGAAATCTATTTTGGCAAGTATCAAGCAGAATCTGTAACTATAGGTTACTCTGTTTTAGTTTCTCTGTGGAAAGTTTGGGTACTGGACTGCAGTGGTGCAGAACCTTGACAATTCAGAGCAAAGTAATGGCAGCTTGCCCAGAACTCAAGTGCTGCACCTGATTTCCATACAAATATAAATTGAATTGTATAAAATATTGCATCAGTTATGTATTTTATTTATTTATTTATTTATTTATTTATTTATAGGGCACTGCAAATGTAGGCAGCATTTTACAGAGCAATCCAAAATTGCTGTGAAGGTAGCAAAAAAGAAAAGCTGTGCAAAAGCATAATGTTGTTCACAAAAAATTTGTAGACTTAAATGATTTTCAGTTTACTGTGCTGATATGAAAAGTCTGAATTCCTGATGCACAACATTGAGCTTTACCAGAGGATTTTTATAAAAAACTAGTGAACAACATAATTTGCTTCTGCCAGATAAAGTTAGGACCTATCAGCCATGTCATAAACTGCTATCAAGTCTCTGAGCTTCTTCTTCAGCTCAGGCAGGAACAGCAATTTGTTTGGAGTAGAAGCACTGGAGAATGCTTGGTGGCACTGTAAATGTTTGTGCACTGGCTGCGATGTCGGGATATGAACAGTGTAGGGTTTCCAGCAGAGTTGGTAGAAAATGGGAAAATGTTTGGCCAGGGAGATTTCCTGGAAATACATTTTCAGCAGAATCCAGTAGCTCTGTGGTGTGTGGTGACTTCAATGAAACTGGATGAATTTATAAACTGGTCTGAACTTTTTGTTTTGCTGCTGGCACTACTGTCAGTCCCCATTAAGAAATGCAGCTTTATATGACATAAACTTTGATTAGACTTTGATTAAACTTTGATAGAGACTTTGATTAATAGCACTGTATGGAAAAGCCAGAACAAATCTCCCAGGGGATGATGAAGAAAAAATTGTCAATGCAGTAAACAGGAATAAGAAGCTAATCTATAATTTAAGCAATGTGTTAATTAATACAGAAAAAAATAATGAAATCTGTCATAAATCCAGGGACTAATCTTGTCTATCTGCTCATCTATGGTGTTAGAACACCATACCTTGAATAGGAAAGCAGTATCTGTATGGTAACTGATGGGAGTCGCTTTCCAATCAGATGATCAGCAAGATTTTTTGCTTGCTGGGAGTTTACTCATTTTAAGATAAGAAGCCTTTCTAAAATCATATGTCCTAGTGGGAAAACCAAAGTAAGTAAAAGAGTGCCAAGGGATGGCTGCTAGTCTGCGGGCAGGACTCCAAGATGAGGTGCCACATAAAGGGACAGCCCTGACCTTCCTTACCTACCCTGATGCTGTGTCCTCCCTTGCCTCACCAGGGCTGGCATTAGCCATTGTTGATATCCCCCTGTCCCAGGAAGCTTGGCTGTGCTCAGAGCAGAGGCAGGAGGAACAGACCCCCGTGAGGAAAAGAGAAAGGAATTACCTATTTCAAGGCACAACAGTCAGTCTGCTAGAGAGCAGATATTTCTTCAAAATCAAAGGAATCACCAGAGTGGAAAAGATGGAGGTAATAGGGGTATTAGCACAGCTCCTGTTTAGTACACTGTCAAACTGAAGTTGTTCATCTTGAGAAATTTGCACCTAGAAATCATCAGCTTCCAACAGAAGCAATTTCATTCCTTCTACTCAGGTGAGACCTGACTGCTGGTTGTAGGCAGAATAAGAATGAACATTGCCTCTAAATGTGCCAGTTTTGATGAACTCTTACAAAGAATCAGGTTTTTAGATGATAATTTAGCTACTGTTTTACTATTACTCAGATATCTCTGGATGAGGATGCAGAAGAGAGACGACATTCCATAAGGTCTGTTGATGGCCTCCCACACAAGCCTTGCTCTGCTCCAGGGTCATGATAAAGGGATACATAATCCTTGCTAGAAGCTTACACTGCAGTTTTAAAATTCATGCTTGGGGAACCCAGGCAAGTGCTAAAGGATCCCTGTGGTGTATCCTCAGGGCTTTTGAAGTGGTCCTTACTGCAGTGCATGCGAGACTGAGAGGAAAGGTTTCACAGATATTGCACAATATTGTTCATGATCCCCATAAAGATCCATGTACTGGTCTGCACATATTTCTTCCCTTGATTAGCAGGGCTTAGTTACTGAAATAAGAAATAGTCTGAACCAAGCCAACACCCATTACAAAACTTGGAATATTCAGTAACACTGATAGTATTCTCCTATTGGAAAAAATGCTATTTTGTTGCATTTGGAATTGAAAATATAGAATTTCATAAATAAAACTTTCATAACAGTTTTTCTTGCAGTAATTCATGGATTAATATTAGAAATACCCTGCTACAGATCATTTGTTTCCCATGCCAAATTTGTGGTTTGTGAAAGTCATAAACTCTTAAGAACACAGACCAGCAATGTCACTTAACAATTCTCATAATAACTTAAACTGAAAGAGAACTAAAAGAACAATAAAAACAATAAAAAAAAACAGTAGCATTCACTAAACAAAGAAAATCGATCAAATACCCTGTTCATTGATCCATGTCGGAAATCTCTCTAACAGGCTTAGTGAGAGGACAGCTAGCTGAAGCAAATACCTTATGGCTGGGCCTTTTAAAACACCGATTTGTAGCATGATACCACTGAGAAAAATTATGCTCTCCTTATGCAGCCTCACAGCTAATCCACCATCCTATGGTGTAATGCATTAGCCTTATCATTTCTTTAAGAAAGGAGAGAAAACAGAGAAAGGATTTTCACAGCTGGCAAGATGCTAAAACATATTAGATTTTATCATGAGAGTATAATGGTACTACTGTTTAAGAAAATGCTAACATCTTGTTTAATTTTCTTAGTTTTTCTAAATGGATTTCTTTTTCAGTGGAAGCTGGAAAAAATGGGGGAAGAGAGCATAAGTAAATACCTTCAACCTTCTCAGCTGAAATCCATAATTATAGTTCTATTACTTTTTGGTTTCTTATATATAGGTTTCACAGAGCTGATTGCAGGGTGCAGGAACCATTTTTGCCTTTTAAATTGAGGCATTTCAGGTCTTCTCTAATTAACAACCACTTGCAGAGTGTATCACAGGCTGAATGTCTACTCACCAGGCTCATTTCTCAGAGAGAGATCTGTTATTGCACTAAAATGAGGATGAGAGGCATTCTGCATTAATAGTTTATGAAGATAGCTAAATTGCAGCTGACCATACAGTATTCTGTCTATTTTCTTCTTCTAAGTCTTTCTCTAGACTCGCTTTTTCTGGGGAGACAAATCTTGAAGCAATAATACCTTCTCCACAATGATAATAGTTGGATTTTTTTGGTGTGGAGCCTCATCATTTTGAGAAATTGCAGTAGGAAGTGCATAGGCAAACTTCCTTGTACAGAGCACCAACTATCAAAATAGAAACTTCGGTTTTCTTTTCCCATTAAGGTGGCAGAGTTTTAGATCTAATGAAACAAAAACACAGGAAGAAGTACAGCTCTTTATTACATGACAGTTCAGAGCTCTGTAAAAGTAAAGCCTCTGATTTATCCACAGAAAACTTCCCAGGATCAAGATCTTCACACAGTTACCCAATTTGTGCCCAGTCCTTTTTACCCAGTCACACTCACTGCATGTTACTCACAATAAGCTAACCAGACCCAACATTTTCTTGGAGCAAGGAGCTGTCACATTTTCTTCTTGTACAGTGGTAAGCACATGAGCTGTTCCTCAAAAGCAAATGACAAAATTCTGCATTTCCTTCCTCCCTCTGTCCTTCTCAATCTTCCCTCCTCCCTTCACTCCTCACTGCCTCACGGCATTTTTGTCACCTTCTGGATTCCAAGTTCTCATTCACTTCATTCCCTTGCTAAAAAAATCTGTCCAGGTGCAGCCATAAGGCAAAACAATGGCACAACACAAAAGGAGAGCTGTCAGGTAGCCATAAGCAGCAGAAGAAAAGGAATAGTAAGTGAGATATTCTAATATCTGTATCACCAACCGACTAACCATATAGCAGGACATATGCATGAATTTACCATTTTAAAGAATTAACCACACTTGCTGAAAGCATCAACCTTAGAAGGAAACCCAGAGTGTGAAGGAATGAGTACTGCTGGAGAGATGATTTGTATTATTTCAGGTAAGCACGACCAAGAACGGATGGGCATAAACATTGGCATTTTCTTCACAGAATTGCTGTTATCTCCTGTGCTGTCTCCTGTTTTGCATAATGCCATATGAACCTCATTACTGCAGTTTGCAGGGTTTTGAACATTCACAGAAAAAAGCATAGGGAGAAGAGTAATAATTTGATTGATGCAATTTTCACATTGGCCCAGTGGATAATCAGAAGTGCTCTTCTATTACAAGGACATGCAGAAAGCAAAACATTTTAAATCCTACCCACAATCCTACCCAGGGCCATTAAGAAAGGCTAAAAAAACCTCTAATAACACAGGCTTTCTTGACAGAGTTATTGTTAACAGCTAAATAGCAGCTAGCAGGCAAGACCTGCTCTTATGCCAGGACTACAAGGCACACAGCAGTCTGAATGAAAGATAAATATGTATGTGTGGAAATTACATCTTCCAAAAATTATAAAAAATAAATAGATTAAATGAACCCCTACCTTGGAGAGCCTGGAGTGTACGAGTCTGAACAACAATACAGAGTTGCAGGACCAGCTGTGGTGCACTTTCCAGAAAGGTGGCTAGCAAATGCAGCATACTCACATCTGCATACTCATACACCATTTTCCAATAAAACCTCCATCTGTCATTCTCTCCACTCTGTCGACTCCGGATACCCAAGTACATTGTGTGAAAATACCTGGAAATGAAAGAGAGTAGTTATAGAAGCACAGAATGATATTTTACTCGTTAGACTTTTGCTTCCAAACAATGTTCTGTTCAATGTACTTCAAAATAACGAACGTTTATTTAAAAAGATCATCGTATTTCAATTTGTAATAGTTGATGTGATAAGAATGAACCAAACTGAAGACAAGATTAGCCTTTAAATTCCATTTTAAAAGCTTAGCATTGTCTTATTTGTTAAATAGTATTTCTTTCAAGGACCCAGTTTTCTAATTTGAAATATATGGCTGATATCTTGATTATATGGCCTTCCTCAGAGGTTTTTCAAATAATGAGAGGAACAAAACTGGCTCTTTAATGAGAACCTGTAAATAACTAATCATCTAATCTCCTTCTGCATGGCTCTATTAGGACTTGGAGGACCACCTGCACTGCAGGTCTGAGGTGGTCTTAGCCTGTAGCTCTGCTATGTCTGAGCTTATTGTCCTGCTTTTCCACCCATCTGACACACCGAGTATTTCAGATACTGCCAAATGTATCGTGGTTTTTTTTCTCATAGTTTGATTATTTTAGTTGGAGAGAAGATGTAGCTGTGAGTTCCTATTTTAGAAGGCGAGGAGATCTAGCTGTGAGTTCCCTTGGAGATCAGAAATGACTCACTATGGTAGCTCCCATGCAGCAGTAGCAGTAAGCAGCAGCAGGAGCCAGGAACCCAACAGGCTGCTGCTGCTCCCCGTAGTAACCAGCAGATAAAGGGAGCAAGAGGCAAAGCCCATCAGCTCTCGTGCCCTGTGCAACCAGCAGGAAAAACACTTGGCAGCCAGCTCATTAAGTAGATTTTGGTGGGTGAAGGAGTAATGAATGGTTTAGGAAGCAAGGGAGGTCTTCTGAAGGCTAGTACCCAGATGCTGTGATGCCTGTGGTGACCCTTGCAGAGCGTGCAGCAGCCTCCCATGACACACCTGAGTCACAGCACAGTGATCACTCTGGGTGGCCTTTGATCTGCTCTGTTATTCTGATCTGATCTCAGATATTCTGTGTCAGAAAAGCTCCCACGTTGTTCCTACAATTTTAGTTCCAATCTAATTAAGGCTGGCTGAAATAAAATCCCCAGTCTCACTTAATGAAAAATTTTGGAGATTAAGGTATTGTCTTGCATCAGGGTGCCTTGTGTCCTATGGTAGCATCCTGGGGGGCTACTAACTGTTGTAGATCTTTATTTCCCTTTTGCTTAAGGTATGTTTAATATCCTGCTCCTGACATCATTTTCTTATGATATTTTATTATGTTTTCAGAACAATTTTTTTTAAATACAATCCTATTTTATAATTAGAAAAAGTTAGTAAATTTTAACCACTTTCCATATGAATTATTTTAATTAGTTAGGGTAAAGTATTTCAGTATTTCTTCTTTCCACAAGTTCTTGTCTTAAAACCCTTTTCCTAACTGGTGGGGCATGGTGAATTGTGCAATCTCTTTTACAAAGGTTGCGTGCAACCTTTAATCTCTGCTCAGCTGTAACTCTGGAGGTGTCTTATGCTGATGAGAAGACTTTTGGCTTCTGACTGGCAAAGAGCCCAAGATTTGGTTGCCCTCTTGAAGAATGACCCAATGCACCCTTGTACCCAATGCACACTCTATGCAGAGCAACAGTTTTTATTCAGGAGCATTCACCAGACAAAACCAGGGAGTAGCACAGGGAAACAGCTGAGAGGACAGATCTGAGCCTGCAGCATTTCTCTTGACAATGCACATCACAGCAATATAAAAGGAAAACACATTAAACTCGCATTTAAATTAAAATCACACCAGGTGGCTTTGAATTTTATCAAAGTCCCGTGTGGGAGTGAAGCAGCAATGAAGTGCTCAGCGATAGAGACCACAGAGGTACAGTAAACAAGATGCCAACTGTAACTCTCATGCAAAACACTGAGTAGGTCTAGATGGGTCAGAGTGTGATGGCATAACTGGGGATCTCTGGTGTCTTTGGGGTTAGGTGAAGTGGAATGGCCTGCTGCCCAGATCTGAAAGCCACTGAGCTGGAAAGGCATATTTTGCTGCACAGTTCTGTTAATGGGGTCCATTGGACCCACAGGTTCTCAGTCACGATCCATTTAATTGTTCCTGGACCTCTCATTAAAGTCCTGCAGCACAACAGGGACAGGTAAGGCTTGTATTTCCTTCTGCAGTTTATTGTTTGGGTGGGTTTTGTTTGTCCTGCCTAACATGTCCTCCCAAGGGGCACACCTTGGAATATTGTGCATAGTAGGAACAGACAGCATCTTCAGCATCATCCTTTTAAGATATTACTAACCCTTGCTATAAATTCCTAAAGGAGCTGTGGCTGCTGAAAATTGTGCCAGGAGGCTCTAGCTCTGCCAGTGGAGCCATCTGCAACTTCAGTTCTACAGCATTTGTACAAAAAATACTTTTCCTATTACAAAAATGACATACTGTGGCAGGTGAAGACCCCTAGGGTTCTTTACCTGCTCTGCAGAGTGGCTGTGCATGGCAAATATGTTGTGATTAATGAACCCGTATGGAAATATTTCCTCTCCCATTGCACTTTATTGTGAAACACTGGCAGTGAGTTATTGGGGACTGGGGAATCATTGCTCTTTGTCTACTTAGCTCTCTGTAATTTAAACACAAGACATAGAGGACGAAGATACTTTCTGTTTTTACACACTGGGGACCAAATTTCAGCCTAGAGTGGTATTTTTTTCTGTCCTTTCAATTTTGACCAAATTAATTGCAGGCTGAAATGAACATTTACACACATAATTACTGTCACTGATTTATAGGCACAATCAGGTGATTAGACAGCTAAACATTCTGATTTGCATCCGCAATTAATTGCACCAGCAATTGATGTTAGGTGTGCAAATTAGCAGTTATTAAAATAAAAAGAAGGTCTAATAAAATGATTCATATATCAGACACTTTTTTTCTGATTGTGAAATATAGAAGAAAAAAAAATGGGAGAAAGTGCTTTGTTGTAGTGGTTTCCAAATATAGCTTAACACTGCAGCAATGACACATTCCATTTTATATATATATGCATTATGTAATTCCACTTCAGACACCCTCACTGGAGGCCTATTGTCAGCAAGTGCCATACAGACACAGTCAGTGGTAGTTCCTGATTTAAAGGGTTTTTATGTTTTGGTGTTCTGTTATGGTTTCAGTAGAAATTCACATTTTTATGTGAGTCCAGGTTGTGACTCTTGCATACAGTGATTCCAGAAAGATATAGGAAAAAGTAGTATAGAGTTCTGTGTTGCAAAATGTCTTAGGTAAATTGATGTCAATGAACCTGAAAGAGCAGATGTGAATGTTATTCCTTTGGTTGCGATTGCATTCAGTCAGCTACAGTCTTCTGCTGGTGCTTTACAAACATACAAAACCTGCCTATCCATGTTCCCAAAGAGCATTTAATTGATATGAAAAGAGATGAAAAAGAGTGAAGAATTGAGAGTTAGAGCACTTCACAAAAAAAGGGAAAAGAAGCAGAAGGGGGAAGTGTGGTAATAATACTGCCATCTAGTAAAGAAACTACTTTGTCTAATAAATCAAGTTTATCTTAAGTCTCTTATTTCACTAGAGGAGTAAAACCAAATAAAAAGATACCACTCCACTCACTCCACAAGAAGACCCTACAATTTCATAGCTCTCTTATTTGTGTAGAAGAACTTAGACGTTAACTGATTTTCTTAGAGAATTTGCAATTAGAGGATTATGAAACCTCTCCCGTGAAGTCACACTGAGAGAGTTGAGGTTGTTCAGCCTGGGCAAGAGAAAGCTCCAAGGAGATCTTATTGTGGCCTTCCAGTACTGAACGAGGCTGAAGGTTATGGCTTCAAACTGAAAGAGGATAGGTTTAAATTAGTTATAAGGAAGAAATTATCCATTACAAGGGTGGTTGAGACACTGGAAGAGGTTGCCCAGAGAAATTGTCAATGCCCCATCCCTGAAAGTGTTCAAGACCAGACTGGATGGGTCTTTTAGCAACCTGGTCTAGTGGAAGATGTCCCTGCCCATGGCAGGGAATTGGAACTGGATGATCTTCAAGGTCCCTTCCAACCCAAACCATTCTTTCAGTCTGTGATTCTATGAAATGTACTATGAAAAAGCAATATCAAAACATTTTTCTTTTAATATTACTCTTTCACTCTCTCTCTCTCTTTTAATTTTTTTTAATTTTTTTAATTTTTTTTTTTATGAAGACAGACCATTTTTTTTATGTTTGGGATTTCAATGATGATTAAAAAAATTATATTCAGAATTAATACAATGGAGTGAGAAGCACTATATGACTGATAATCAGATGGCAACATATATATTGTTATTTGAGTCTTAATGTCTTAACCTTTGAAGGAAGTAGAGAATTTTTCAGCATTTAATTGTCTTAATTTATTTCAGTGCATCACACAGCACAGTATACAGACCTTGATAAAGCATACCCTTAAGGATGTGAATCTGAGACAAGACCACAAGTGACATTCTTTTTCCATTATACTAATGATGGAAGGCAGTAAAGTAAAAGAAAGAAACAGAAAACCAGGCTATTCCTTATGTCCACAACAGGGTCCAAAATGCAAGGCAAATAGAAATAAAAAATGACCTACATTTGTATTTGGGAAAAAAATGTATTTCAGTATAGGGAAAGAGACATTCATTCTGATAAGACAGTAGTTCTATAGTATTTCCAAAATCAAGTGCCCTCATTTTGCTCCAGATTCACATACCAGTCTTGAAGAGGGTCAGCATAGACAGAGATACCTACATTTGAAATAATTCTGGTAAAAATTCACTTATGATGAAAGCCTTCCCACTTGTGTATTTAATTGAGATGAGGTAGTGTAATTATACAATAATACCAAATATTTATATGAATATTTATATGAGTGCTTTCCATGTTTAAAGTGCTGTAAAACCACTGCTTGATTAACTAGGATGAATGAAAATAATCTTACAGAGTTTGTTCCTTAGGAGTTGGCAGCTGACCAACCT